TTTATTCTCAGGTAATGAGAAGCCACTGAAATGACAGGGTTCCTAAATATCTGTCTCTTAATCTCATCTTATTATTACTCTCTCCCTGCTTGACTCCACCTATCCCTACAGTTTTAATGATCACCTATATTAAGTTGGCTTCCAAATTTGTATTTTAATTCCTGACATCTTTAGAACTGCAGATTTGAGTACACAGTTGTCCTGGTATAAGCAACAAACTCTATTTACTATTCTACCAACCCAGCCCTACAGCCTGCTTCTCTATTGGCATTAGTCCCTGTTAGCCTCTATTTGCATGAATTAGTACACCACAATCCAGCAGCTCTCCAGAATTAACACGATAAAATCGTCTTCGGCCTCTCCTCTCTTCTTTCCCCTCCTACCAGTCTAATTCATTATCAAGTCCAAAAGTTTTGCTAAATTAAAACTTTTCTTTCCACTCCCAGTGCTTCAGTCCAGTAAGATCTCTTTCTAGGATCACAGAAAAGCTAGCAACACTTCCACCTAACGGTATTTTAGTTCCCTCCCTCTCCCCTTAGCTCATCATCCACAGGGCTTCCAGAGTCATTTCTCTATAGTTCTGATCATGTCACAAGCTTTTCCTGGTTGAAAAGCTTTCAATGGCTAGCTATCACCTAAAGAATGAAGTACAAACTTCAAACCTATAGTATTCAAGGTCTTTTATAATCTAACCTTGTCTATCCCCTCACTAAAACAGCTTTCTCTTGCTCTTCTACTCTCAAGTCTACCCACATGGGACCATCTTCTAATCTCCGCGGCATTTCCTACCTATAGCCTATAGCCTTAACCAAGAATACTCTTCTACCACTCTTTCTGAAATCATATTTATCGTTCAAGGTGCTGATCGAATGTTTCCAGCTATTTATCTCTCTAAATTCTCCCACCTACAAATAAACACAAGGCACTCTCTTCTTTTTCCAGCACAGCTCCAACTGTCTGAAAGTTGTTTCCTATAAAAAGGTAAACACCTACCCTCTGGTCCAAGTTCTGAGTAAAAGGGCTATACAGATGAGCCTAATCCTTTTCTATACAACAATCTTTCAAATACTTGAAGCTCTTCCTAAATCTTCTCTTCACAGGGTAAATTTCCTCAAGAGTCACAGCTAATATTCATAGATATAATTTCTAGAAATTTTTATCATCATAACTACCCCCATGTGGACACTCTAGATTTTCAATCCTCTCTCCCAAAGTGTAGTGTCCAGAACCAAACCCAACACTCTAAACCACAGTTTTTGCAAATTATGCACAATATCACTCCCCCTCCCAAATCTGGAAATTCACAATGTCTATTAGCAAATTAATAACTCAAAATAGTCCTTCAGTTAATACACTGGTCAGTTTTAATTTGGTGCAGATGTTTAATAATTGTGCAAAAGAACGAAGTGAAAAAACAAGGTTCAAAGAAGTTCTAGTCATAATCAAGTATACAATACAAAAATCTTAGGAAAGAAGAGAACTACCTTTTGAAACATGAGATAAATGGAATCAGGTGGATAAAAACTCAGATATTATAAAGAAGGGTGCAATAACAAAGGAATTTTCTAGACAAAGTTTATTTGAGGAATCTTTTACTAAATAATCTATCATAGAGCAAGCAAATTTTCAATAAAAATATGCTGATTAACACTTTGTTATTAAAAATGCCAACTACGTGTTATATGCATAATATTTTTACCCTGAAAATCCAATATGCTTTAAAAAAAAGTTAGAATTCAACAATCAATCCTAAACTTAAATTCAGCTGACTGGACAATACTCAAGAGACTTATTTTGAATTATATAACAATATCTTCTCTCTCATTAAATAATATCCAATGTAAAAATGTGGTTCTTTGATGACTGGCACCATACTAATTAACTGAATTGAAAGAAACATTAGGGCCAGCCCTGGCAACCTGGTTAAGTTCAGCGCACTCTGCTTCAGTGGCCTGGTTTTGATTCTTGGGCGCAAGCCTATACCACTCACCTGTTTGTAGCCATGCTGTGGTGGTGGCTCACATAAAAAAGAAAAAAAGAGGAAGACTGGCAATGGATGTTAGCTCAGGGCAAATCTCGCTCAGCAAAAAAAAAAAAGAAAAATTAATTTCCTCTAAAGAGTTCTTAAATACTCTTCATCTATGGTGCTAAATGCTCCACAATTTATACAATTCAAAGTAAACTCAAGGAGACCTCTAAAGAGGTCACCTTTCATATCAAGGAAATAGGAAAGTTAGATGACTCATTTTTGGAAAATTTGCTTTAAACAAATTAAAGATATTTCCCTTTGATTTATAGTGGAAGGCTTAGGAAATGTGTAACAGTACTTACAGAATGTACAACACGTCTGTGCTGCAGGCCTCAATTATCTAAAAACGGAGGCACACAGAGATATTAGCACATAATGATTCTCCCGCATCATCAATAACAGCCTGATTTTCTCTCAACCAAGAGTACATGAATTCAAAATATCAAGCTGACTGAAGCATAAATTGGCATAAGCACTTTGGAAAATAATTTGGTATTATAATAAAGTTAAAGATGAACATATCCTTTGACTTACAAATTGTTATTTTAGGATAGACATGATCTTGTTAATTTAAATTTTTCTTTAATGATATTGTATTTTCATTGAAATGGTACAATGAAATTGATACATTTTTTTTTAATGGGCAAAAGATTTGAACAGATAATTCACCAAAGATCTATGCATGACAAATGAGCACATGAAAAGATTCTCAACATCCTCAGTCATCAGGAATATGAAAATTAAAACCACAATAAGATACCGCTATACACCTATTGGAATGACTAAATTAAAAATAAAAACAAAAATACCAAGTGCTAGTGAGAATGTGAAACAAACTTTCACACGTTGGTGATAGAAATGCAAAATGGTACAGCCAATTTGGAGAGCAGTTTGGTAGTTTCTTATCAAGTTATATATACATTTACCACACAACTCAGCAATCCCACTTCCAGGTATTCACCCAAGAGAAATTATGTTCACACAAAATCCTGTATGGGAATGTTTACAGAGGCTTTGCTTACAATCACCAAAAACTAGAAACAACCCAAATGTCCTTCAGCTGGTGAACAGATAAACTGTGGTAAACTCATACAATACTACTTCCCAATAAAAAGCAACAACTACTGACACATGGATGAATCACAATTGCATTATGTTATGGGAAATAAGCTAGACTCAAAAGATTACATCTCATCTAATTCCACTGATAACGATATTCTGGAAAAGGCAAAACTATAGCGACATAAAACAGATCAGTTGTTACCAAGGACTGGGTATGGCATGAGGGAATGAACGACCTACTAAGGGCGGGTAGGAGGGACTTTTTGGGGTGATGGAATTGTTCTTTGATTGTGGTGATAGTTACACGACGCTATGCATTTGTCAAAAAACATAAAAGCATACACCAAAATAGGGTGAATGTCACTGTATGTAAATTATACTTCAATTAAAAAAAGTCAACCTGATGTTTCGCATATTTTTTAATGTTACTTACAACTTATGGAAAGAAACATCTTTCCCTCTGCTTGCAATCCGTCAAGAAAAACTTCACCAACATGCTAGGTTCTTTGTGGACTTTTTTTTTAAGACACATTCCTTGCGCTGACAGAGGACAAAAGCTCAATAGGGAAACAAGTCAAAGATATTAAAATAAATTACAGAAAAAGGCTAGGCAAAACAATTTTGAGTGCTAAATCATAGAATACACTTTATATGGGCTCTACAAGGAAGGAAGCAATAATTCTCTTTGTCAAGGGAAATAAATGGAACAATTTTGGAAAGGTCTTAGCGCTTCTCAGTATTATGATTATTATCATCATCTCTAACTTTCAAACAAGGATACTGAGACTTGGACAAATACTTTGTCCATGGTCCCTCGGCTGTTAGGTGTCAGAGCTGAGATCACCCAAGCCTTTCTGAGCCCAAAGCCTGAGATCTTTTGCATCGCGATGACGGAACGACACAGAGAGATTAAGACGGCTGCTACGTGGTGTGATTTCAACGCACAGGAACGCCCCCTAACTCCCCAAACTCCACGACTTCGCAGGAACCCTGTACAGAACACCACAAGGAGAGCCGCGTATCTTCGAGCTCAACCGGGGCTTGGAGTGCGAACTCGTGGGCAGGGAACATGGAGCCTGTGGGGATCTCTTGTCCACAGTGTCAGTGTGCCTGGACCTACTTCTGACAGGTTGTGGTTGTGAGGACGGTGACGCACGAGGCCAGCGCCGGAGCCACTGAAAAAGGTCGACACCAAGAAAGAGCAGAGCGGAGGCGCTCCACACACACCTCTTCAATCACACCGCGCCGGCCTGGTCCCAAGGCCCGCAGAGGAGCAGGAAAGGCCTCTGCCTGCCCCTCCCGAGACCTCTGGTAACAAGACCTCCGTGGACTTGGCCCCGTGTACGTCGCCCAATGGCAAGGACCGACACTGCGGCGTCCTCGCCGGCGGGGCTCTCAGCGGACACATGCGGGGCCGGGAGCGGCGCAGAGCCGCTCAGAAACAGCCAGAGTGAAGGCCAGCGGCTAGAGCCAATGGGGCGGCGGGCTGAACGAACTCGGGTGGTCCCCTCGGGGATATCACAAGTGCCGCACGGTGCGTTAGTTTACAAGACACTCTCACTTTCCCCTCATTTACGGGCCACGCAACCGCTGCCCTCGCTCTCACCTCACCTCTCCAGTTCTTGTACTCCGGGATATAGTAGTATTTGTTCCCGAACGGGTCTGTGCCCACTTGCTCCTTCACTTCCTTTGACAGCGTTCTCCACAAGGCGCGGAACAAATCCTGAGACCAACCCATGCCGCCGCCCAGCTCTCAGCGCGGAATCCGCCGCGACCCACGCAGGAACGCCCCAGGCCGCCGGCCCCGCCCACCGACCGGGAGTCCCACCTGCCTCCACCCTTACGCCTGCCTAGTAAGGGCGCTCACCATTGGTCGGATGGCATCATGGCTTGACCAATGGGAGACTCCGCTGTTACAGCCCCGCCTCCGAACTCTGTCATGGCGGCTGCCGGTTCTCAAGCTGGCGTGAGAGGACGGGATGTTAGGGTTGTTGTCGGCGCGACAAGCCGGTTTGGACGACCCGCTTCGCTTCCGGAGAGCGGAGTCCACACGGAGGTAAAGAAAACCTTACTCTTTTCTGTAACGGGCCAGTTGAATCTAGACCAATGGCTACGTTAGCCTTGCTTCACATTTTCCCGCCTTCTCACTTTCCTCACACCACACTGGCTTTACTCTCTCTTCTGCTCTGTGGCTTGCGAAAATAAGATACCTTTTATGTACTTGTAGGCAGGTGAGTGCGCGCGCGGGCTCGGGTGAGGGCGCCATAAACCTAAATGAGGGTACTTTCGTTTTACTGTATTCCTTCTCACTCACATTAGTCTCCCCGCCCTTGCCGCCCAAAGAATAACTGTCCTCCAAGGATTCCTTTAGTCGACATATTTAGTGAGCTGCTGCTTGTGCCAAGCAGTGTGTTAAAGGCTGAGTACAGGCCAGGAATTGAACAAAGTTCAGCGTGACTAGCGCAAAGAGTTGGGGGGAGGGGACCATTGACAAGAGACGAAGCTGGAGAAGTAAGCAGAGGCTAGATGAGGAACAGCCTTGTGTGCTTGGTTAAGAGGTATGAAGATGAGAATAAGGTGACAACTATTGCATTTTGTCATCTATTTGGAGAATAATTGAAGTTGAGAGCAAGAGTACGATAGATAACTGTTGCAAGGAGAAAGTTAGTGGAAGCCTGGGCCAGGGAGATGGCAGTTGGGAGGAAGAGAGTGAAGATATTTGAAAAATATTTAAGACATAGAGTCAACCAGCCATGGAAATTGATCGGATATAGTGAATGATGAAAAGGGAAGAGTAGGCAATGATTTCCAGCCTTGTAGAGCAGGGTGAATAATGGTGACATCTCTCCCCAAAGAAGGAGCAAGTTTTACTTTAATTTTGCCCATATTGATTTTTCCCATACTGCTTTTAAGGAACCTGTGAAGATTTTCGTTTAGAGACTGGAGGATGCAGTTGCATATACAATCACATGCTGCATAACCACATTTCAGTCAGTGACACTGCATATACAATGGTGGTCCCATAAGATTAGTACCAAACAGCCTAGATGTGTAGTAGGCTATACCATCTAAGTTTGTGTAAGCGGGGGAAGAAATTTCCACTACCCTTTTAGGTTCTTCTGGCTGGTCTAAGAATTAAATTGACATGAGAGATTAACAGGAGAAAAACAAGCAAAACTTTAATAACATGTATATGTGGGAGAAACCCAGGGAAACTGGTAACTAGCCAAAATGACCGAAGCCCTCACCTTAAATACAATCCTCAGCTAAAGACAAAAGAAGATGTTGGGGGTAGGCTCGGAGTGTCAGGGACTTCAAAGGGAAGGAATGCAATTCACAGGTAGGTGAAAAGGAGTGAATGTTTAGAAAACAATTGTTTGGCCACACAGAAACAGAAGAACACAGAAGGGAGCCCAACAAATAGGCTTTTCTAGGTTCCTCCCTGTCTACCACCCAGTTCGTGTTATGCCAAGATGATAGCTCACTTCCTAAGACAGGTTTTTTTTTTTTATCTGAATTCTTTTAGGCAGTTAAGGGGGAGGTAACAAGAAAAAGTTTCTGAGTCTTTTGTTTCTTAAAAATAATCAGTCTAAAATAATCCTCATACTAGAGACACATTTTAGGGTGGCAAATTTTGTTCCCCTTTAGTACACTATGATGTTGCTACAACTAAATCGCCTAACAATACATTTCTCAGAAGATATCCCCATTGTTAAGTGGTGCATAACTGTGTATATTTGATGCTCAGGAGAAATTTAAATATCATTAATGCAAGATGATATGTGAAGTGAGGGGATGAGATCACCCAAGCACAAGCAATTCTTTTTTTTTTTTTCTTTTTTAATTTATTTTTCCCCCACAGCCTCAGTAGATAGTTGTATGTCATAGTTGCACATCCTTCTAGTTGCTGTATGTGGGACACGGCCCCAGCATGGCCAGAGAAGCGGTGCCTTGGTGCGTGCCCGGGACCCGGACCCGGGCCGCCAGCAGCAGAGCGCGAGCACTTAACCGCTAGGCCACTGGGCCAGCCCCGAGAGAAGCAATTCAATGACAAAAACCTGAGAAGCATCAATACTTAAAGTTAGGCAGAAGACGAGAGTACAAATGAACTGTAAAGGAGTAACCAGAGGCATTGAAGGAAAACCAGGGTGATGAGGTGTCATGGATGCTGAGGGAAGACTGTTTAAGGAGGCAGCCATCAAATGTGTCATTGCTGTTCCCAGCCCCCTCCTTTGTTCTGGTTCTCCATCCCATTATTCTGCTTTATTTTCTTCATTCAGTTTATTACTGGTGAAATTGTATTGTATGTTTATTTTCTTACTAGTATATTGTCTTCTTAACCCCTGTGAGAAAAGGGACCTGTATTCCCAGTGCCTAGAAGAGAGTTTGACACAATGTGTGTGATGTTTTGTGTTCTAAAATGTTGTATTTTTCTTACATTTTAGTATTATGCTTTTAGAATGTGTAAATATGTTTCTAAATAGTTTGTGTAATTTTAACTAAACAAGTAAGCATTAATTTTTTTTTACCATGTTTTGGTTAGTTTTAAACATGATTGGGGTTGCTGCTGTGCCTCTGTCCCCAACCTCGGTTAGTGCACAGTTGACAATAATTCCTTTTCAGCTCAGTCATCCACTCTAATAAGAGCATACAGACGTAGCCAGAGGTTTTTATTCCAGTGACTGTAAGAACTCAAGCAAAATTTATATGTATTAAAATTTGTCAGTGTGATAATGTGGCTTGTTTCTACCAAGTAGTTCTGCAATTTTTCCATTATGATCAGCAAAGTAAACCTTGGAAAATGAGTGAATTTGCGTATTGTCTTTGCTTTAATTTCAGTGAAAGTAGCTGTATTTTTTTAAAAAGAAGCAGCATTATTATTTTTTCCCTAATATGTTCAGAAGTCTTATCATATCAGTAATAATTTAAATCATATGCACCACTTAGGGTCTGAAAAATTGGGTTTCTCAGAGGCTTTTAGTTCCAAAAAGTCCTCGGTGTGAGGAATCAACTAAGTATAGCTCTTGGTCAAAATTCCATGACCTAAACCTCTTACTTCATTAAAAGTTCAAAATCGTGAAAGTTTCCTAACCAAATCTCCTGATTAATCCATCTATAAATGGATTTCATTTCCTCTGTAAAACATGCTGAGTATACTTAACACTTCTGGCTGAAAACCTGTACTCTAGTAATCCCATGCACATCTCTCCCACCAATTGCTTTGTGTGCTTATCAAAAAGTCAGTATTTGCCCCTAACCCTGTTAATGCTAGTTTTACTTATTATTCTGATTGCCATTTTAATGTGAGCTGATGAAATATGAATACAAAAATGGAGTTGCTATTCTTACAAAAACTAAATGGACCACATTTGAAATACTCAATCCAAACAGCTTAAAACAAAATGAGGTATGATTGAGACAACTGTTATAAAAGATTGGGGGGAAGTATAAAAAGAAGAAATAGTTTTTTCCACTTTGCCAGAATATTGGAATCATGTAGGGTATTTGGAAAAAATATGCATGCCAAAGTTCCAAACCCGTAAATTCTGATTTAATTGGTCTGGGTCACTGGAAATTTTTTAAAGCTCCCTAGGTGATTGTAATGTGTAGCCAGGATTGAGAACCATTGCTCGAGAACAATTCCACATTCAGTTGCTTTGCATATGTCTTAGATTCCGTTTTCGGTTGCTCTGCATATGTCTTAAATTTTCACCCAACTAAAATAAATAAGTTGGCCGGCGCCATGGCTTAGCGGTTAAGTGCGCACGCTCCGCTGCTGGCGGCCCGGGTTCGAATCCCGGGCGCGCACTGACGCACCTCTTCTCCGGCCATGTTGATGCTGCGTCCCACGTACAGCAACTAGAAGGATGTGCATCTGTGACATACAACTCTCTACTGGGGCTTTGGGAGAAAAAAATAAATAAATAAATAAAATTATAAAAAAAATAAAATAAGTTAATAAATAAAAAACTAATTTTTAAAAATTCCTGAAAATCATAAAATATGTATAATGTGAGTGTGGTTTATAAAAGAAAGATGATATGACCTTCTTTTTACCACATTTAATTCTGTTTCAAACAATTGGCAAATATTCAGGCCATCCTTGCTTTGCATAGTAGTGCACATCCATAAAACTGATTGTGCAAGCTGAAACCTATGCAAAGTGATCTTAATAAACAATGGGGAAAATTCCTGTTATTCTGAGATCTTTAAACTTTTTTGTCAAAACACTAAAAACCTCTTACTGTTGGGTATAAATGTATAGGGAAGTGAAAAAATAGTAGAAGCTAATATTTATTTAGTACACTGTAACATACTAGAAATATTAGACATGATGAGAACTCAAGTGCTTTGTGAAAAAACAACAACAACTTACAATACAAGTTGAGCATCTTTTCTATACCTTGGCTAATTATCATACTCCTTTCTAAATTTGGGTCAGATTCCAACATGTTATCCTTTGCATTTTCAGTGTCATGAACTATCTCTGAAAGTTCCTTTAATGTGAAGGTTTTTGCTAGTGTCACTTCCTCTGGGACATCTTCAGCCTTTTCGTCACAACCACTTTGCCTCATTTATGTCAGTAAGTTCACCTTCATTGATTTCCTCGGTCTGTGTATCTCGAGTTTCTCAAATGGCAGCCGTGTCAACATTTCCCACAGCTATTTCTTTTATAATTCCATTTACGTTCAATTTGAGTTTCACTTCCAGCATTATCACTTTGCATTTCTTTGGTGCACTTTAACTTTGTTGGCCAATTCCCTCATTCAGTTATCCATTTTTGTGAAATTCCTTGTAGGTTTATCTCAGGGGCACAGAGGTAGCAAAACTACACACTTTGTAGGCTGTGTGAGAAACGGAATAACAAATGCACAGTGGCCAGTCACCTCCAGACTTTCAAAGAAGTCATGTAAATTGGTCACTGATTATGATGTGTGTGATATTTTCATGGTAATTTGTGAACTGAAAAGCTATTACTGAACTTTGTGTTTTATGCTATTACTTGTGGTTAATATGCCATGGTAACTGAAGTTTGAACCCTGTTGTCAGGGGTCTTGCATTTAACTAAACCATGGTAACTGAAATTCATGTACATCAGACTATGCGAAGTAAGGAATACTTGTATATTTAAGTTAAAATAAAGTGTTTAAGATAGTATTTCAAGATTCCCCTCATTAAGTGATGTTTTTGTTTAACTAAACAACCACACAGTCCAATTTTACTCAAAGAAGATGTCTACTGTAATTTGCCCCAGGTTCTTTCTTGTCAATGGTTATGGGCAAAAGCATGAACACTGAAATACAATTCTTACCCCCCCCTTTTTTTTTTACAACTTTATTGAGATATAATTGACATATAGTAAACTCCACATTAAATTAGATTATACAGTCTGATGAGTTTTGACGTATATATACACTTTTGAAACCATCACCATAATCAAGAGAACAAACATCCATAAGCCCCAGAATTTCATCATGACTCTTTGTAATCCCTCACTCTCTTCTTTCCCCGCTTCACCCTCTTTCTATTCCAGGAAACCACTGATTAGTTTGCATAGTCCAGAATTTTGTATGAATGAAATCATTTTCTGTCTGACTTCTTTCACTCAGCATAATTATTTTAAAATTTCTCCATGTTGTTGCATGTGTCAGTTCCTTTTTATTGTTGAGGTGTTTTCCATTGTGTGGATATACCACAACTTGTTTACCCATTCACTTGTTGATGGACATTTAAGTCATTTCCAGTTTTTGGCTATTACATATAAAGCTGCTCTCAGAGATTCATGTATGAGTCCTTGTATGGACACATGCTTTTATTTCTCTTGGGTGCACGCCTAGCAGTGGAATGACTAGGTATATGTTTCACTTGTTAAGAAACTGACAGTTTTCTAAAAGCTTACATTCCCGCCAGCAGTGGATGAGAGTGCTGGTTGCTCCACATCTTTTGTTTCCCTTTTCCTGCTTTCTTTTGAGTTATTTGAACATTATTTCGTATTCCATTTTAATTTATCTATTATGATTTTGACTATATCTCTTTATATAATTTTTTTTGGTGGTTGCTCTAGGTGTTGTAAAATACTGACTTAACTTTTCATTGTCTACTTAGAATCAATATTTTACTGCTTCATTTGGCATATAGAAACTTTATCACTCTTTACCTTCCACCATATGTGTTGTTGTCTTCTATATTATATTTACATACATTGTAAACCCCATTGGACAGTGTTAGAATTTTTGTTTTCAACTGTCAAACGTTATATTTACCTAGATATTTATCATTTCTGTTGCTCTCTCTCCATTCCTGATACCAAGTTTCCTTCTTAATCATTTCCCTTCTGTCTGAAGAACTTTGTTTAATGATTCTTTGAGAGCATGTACCAAAATTCCTAGCACATACATGCATGTACCTAGAATGTACCAAAATTTCAGACTTCCAGAAGGAAAGCAGATATTCATCATAAAGCACGTTGTTTGCTCCAAATAGTTTAGGCACAGTGAACCATTCTTATCCAGGAATGTTGGGAACCCTATTGAAATCCCAGAAGCCAGCCAAGGGTCAATCTTGCAAGCAGCCCTTTCTAAGGATAGCAGTCTCAGGCCTGCTTTATTAAGGCTTCTTTTTTGCACACCTTGCCTCCTTCCACACACACCCCACCCCCATTTCTCTATCCTATTACCTTTCCCCTTTCCTTTCATCTTAACCCCTCCTAGTTCCCCAGTCAGTCCTAAAGTCTTTAGGTGGGCAAGAGGTAGGCTTCCAAACACAGGCAGGGATTAGGTTGGCCTAGAGTGTTATTTCAGAGCCTGAGCGGGTTGAGGAGGTAGTCTGAGTGTAGGGACTGACAAGCTCAGATGATAAGGGTGTTGTAGGGGTGGGGGCTGAAATCAAAGCCCAAGCCTGGTGAGCAGCATCCTTGTTGGGGGAGGGGATGGTAGTGATAATGGTTACGTGCAGAGGGATTGATCGAATAAATATATTAATGATAATGGGAGCTACATTTCTCACTGTTAGGAGAAGGGAACTCAAGGAAGGGATGATTATCTTTGCACATGTTTGTATGATATTTTACTTGTTACAAGAAGCACCTATTACTGGGATAATTTGAAAAACCATCAAATAGAACAATATTTTAAGAAGAAATGGAAATTTCAATGTAAAAATATGTGAAAAATCATTTTCTAGTGAACTATTGAAGATCAGAAATGGCAGAACAGCATAGTGGTCTAGAGAAAAAAACGTCGGGGTTCAGATGCAGTTTAGCCAATTATTAGAGGTATGACATTGGGCGAATTACTTATGTCTTAGTTTTATAATTGGGAAAAGCATTCACTAATATAACCTACCACCTAGGAGATCTGCCACTTAGGATTACCACTTATTACACTTATTATTACCACTGACTACAATGTCAGCAAGTAGTAGGCTCTTAATATTAGCCATTATTGTTATTGATCAAAGTCAGACAAATAGTAAGTGTTAGACTGGATGTTTGAACCTAAGGCTAAACTCCCGGAAGACAGAGCCATATATATGTTTAAATCAAACAATACAACTAAAATGATTTCCAAAATGCTTATAATTATTAGTACTGCCAGTCAGTGTGTAAAAGTATCAGTTTGTACTTTTTCTGGCACTGTACATTTTTTTTTTTAAAGAACCAATAAGTTGATAAGCTAAAAAATTTCATATAAGTTAGCATCCTATTCATCAATAAAGAATTTAGAAATCATTCTGGTTAAATTAATGTAAATGCTTTTTAACATCCAACAGATTAAGACAAATTCTAATAGTTAATATTCACTAAGCACTTACTATGTGCTGGGCATTATAATGAACACTTTTTATGTATTAACTCATTTAATCTTAATATCCTCACCAGAATAATGATGGTTTACAGTTATGAAATATCCGAAATTTCATGTCTTAATTTGTGAGAGTACTTGTTAATCATTTTTATTTATAAATATTTAATTGGCTTTATTTAAATGTGCCCACTTGTTGAATTGAATATACTCCTTTCGTATTTCCACCTAAAGCTTAAGAAACACTCAAGGGAATTTTTTTTAATGCTGTAATTTAAGCTTTTGTCCACTAGGTGTCCTCAGTTAAGCTTAAGTTATCAGAATTTAACTTTTGTTCATGAAAGTTTGTTTCAGTCTCTGAATAGCTTAATATAAACTTAATAAAATACACTCTTTAAGTGAAGTTTAAGATAATGCTTCAGGAGACATTCTTTACATGTAATTGTTAGTACTGTTGATATTTTAAAAATTAATATAAGGTCTTTAAAAATCTGTAAATACCTTTGGATGTATGGTAGAAAGAGATTTAAGCATTACTTGCGATTTTTGTAATTTATGTAATCTTGGTGAAATAAGGGCATTTTTTATGTTTAAATGACTTTCTAATTGTTTAGTTTTATCTTTCTTTTCCCCTCTTTTAATTTTTATAGGGTTTTGGGACTGGAGTTAAACAAAGACAGAGATGTTGAAAGGATCCACGGCAGTGGAGTTAACACGCTTGATATTGAACCTGTTGAAGGGAGATAGTAAGTTTATCATACAACCATTGTTTTTTTCTTGCTGAGGAAGATTCGCCAATCTTCCTCTTTTTGCTTGAGGAAGATTTGCTCTGAGCTAACATCTATACCAATCTTCTTCTATTTTGTATGTGGGTCACCGCCACAGCATGGCTGATGAGTGTTGTAGGTCTGCACCCAGGATCCCAACCGGCAAATCTGAGCCACCAAAGTGGAGTGGAATTTAACCATTAGGCAACAGGGCTGGCCCAGTATACAACCTTTTTTTTCCTAAGTGAGATGCAGTAAAATCTTGCTTTCAGATTAAGTATGTAAAGGTTCATAAAAATTAGTAAAAATTCTAAATTGTAGCATTTTTAATCTGGCACTACTAATTTCAAATAAATACAGAACATCAAATATACAAAATGTTGCCAGATAAACATTTCCAAACTACTTTAATATAAATATATTCATTGTTAAATCAACAAACATTTAACTTCTTTTGGATGCAGAGAGCTTTTAAGTGCTGGGGTGTGTGTCTCTCTGTCGGTGCCATTTTAAGATATAGGTGCTACTCAAGGAGTCTAATGGGAAAACAAATATAAAAAGCAAAAGTTTGTTTTGGAGAATTAAATTTGAAGCAAACCAGACTTGTATTTGAGTTCCTCCTGGCTTTACCACTTACCAGCTGTGTGACCTTGAGCAATTTACCTAACCCCTTAGCTATACAATGGGAACAATAATACCTACCTAACAAGTTTGTTGTGAACATTAATTGAGATTATATGTATAACATGATTAGCATAGGACGTGGCATACCATAAATGGTTGCCACCACTCCTGTTAGTAAAAAGCATTATCACCTGTACTTTTACTCCTTTTAGTACATTCTCCACACAACAGCTGAAGTGCTTTAAAAGATGCAAATCTGAACATGCCATCCCCCCACTTAAAACTCATCTTGATCCCACGTTACTCGTACAAGAAAGTTCACAACTCTTCATGTGGTCTATAATTAGAACAAGTGTAAAAGTAAAGTTTGTCATGGTATGTTTAGCATTTGCCCCAGAATTTTTATTTTATAGTGAAGTATTATTATTTACATTAAAATAAGCCAGGATGGGCTTGATAAAATTTCATTTTTTATTTCTAGCTTCTGTCATGGTTTCACCTAGTAGTACATGAGAAACATGTACAGTGAACAAATTCTCACTTTAACTCGTGGCTAAATTTAAAAGATGACCAGCGATAAATCTCTTCTTTTTCCTGACCTGTTCCAGGCGTAACATAGCACCTCCCATTCAAGGTCAGCTGTGGGGCATTTGCTTATAAAATAACGCAGACTTGAATAGCAGGGATAGCTGATTTCTTTTGGTCTGGGATGATGGTATAAAAAATATTCAATACTGCTACTCCAGCTGGCCATTTGGGATAGTGACCAGTTGTTTGACCTGTGCAGTACATGAAGCCAGTAGCTATCAGTTGTCAGAGTCAGTGAGAAATGTGGGACATTATAGATTATATGTGCATGAAATATGTGTGAGAAATACAGGCTGAGGAGTCTTTTTGCAGAGCATACCAAGAAAGGTCAAGATTCTCACTACAGTGGTTTCCTCCTTTATTGCATGGTAATATCTACAACTGTTTATTTCATTGTTTGCTAAGACTAGTATTCTGCATTAAACTCTTTTGGCAGCAAAGAGAAAAATAAAAAGCAAAATGTATATTTAGTAGAAAATTAAATATTTTATTTTTCTCAAGAAAATTATTGCACATGTAACTGGCTCAAAATACTTGTTAATATTTACCAACTACTATAAGAGCTGTAGTGAGTGATACCACTGAAAACCAGAATGGAAACCAGAATATACAAATCTGGTAAAGAAGCATTTATTTCCAGAGGTAGGAGTTATTTTAAGAAGTCTACCTGAAAATAACATTTTAACTAGTGCAACTGCATAACGTATATTTGCATATCATTCTTTGAAGCTCAAATTTTCTTTTGTCTTCTAAATTCTTCTAAGTTAATTTCATTCATCTTTTATACCATATAAGAACTTGTCCATATAAACACATGAAGCCATATCGCTTACTATGTTTACCCTATAAGCAGAATAATAATCTCACAGTTAAATAATGTCAGTGCTATCAGATACTTCACATACAAAATCAGTTAATCCAATAATGGTTCAATTTTTTCACCCAATTAATGGAATCAAAGGAAAGATTTTAGAAGTCATTCTAGCAAAGATGAAACATCTGACATTCTTGTAAATACCAATTAAATTCAGTTAAGTTCAACTTTGAAAATAATTGTTTGTTTTTGCATTGATAATATATGTAGTGCCATGGTAAAAAACAATATTTCATAAAGTTCAAATATGAAGCAAAAATGTTTTTGGGATTGGTTGTGGTAGACATGTAACTCACAACTGTTTCCAAACAAGCTACAACATTTTATCAATGAAAATAAAAGCTATAGTTGTTAAAATTTACAGTTATCTCTATACAGGCAATTAGATTAACTGAAGTACAAAATTTTTGTAATGAAGCTTACGTTGATTATTAAAAAAAAACTTCAGCATGGTAGTACTTGCTGTCTTTACTGCCCATCATCAATAGGATTTTAGAACCATTTGAGCAAAGAACTTTGAAGAACTACTTTTAAATTAACTTAATTGTTCTACAAATGGGTATTGAATTTTTCTTAAAACAAGTATATAAATCAGCGCTACTTGGACATGCTGCTAGTTCATGAACCTTTTGTAACTGGTTCACAACAAGATAAGGAGCTTGTACCGGAATGTAAATCTACCGTGTCACTAAGCACACTGTTTAGATGAGCTGAGATTTTTTTGTAGCAAGATTTTCTCAGTGAAGAAAGAAGTATGTTCACTTCTGGCACAAGCTCCTTATCTTGCACTTTAGCAAAGAAACTAAAGGTGGCAAAATAAAACACCAATATATAACACTTATAACAGATATAAGTGATCAAATATCCCCACAAACCACAAAATATGGATGAGTGGGAACAAACCAATGATAATTACAAGATCTGTGTGGTATCTAAACTAGGGGAGGCATAAAAACCAATGGGGCATCCGATAGACCTGATAACTCCAAAATAACCAACAGTTAGTTGAAAGCTCAGCAAGCCATTTTTACTACAGCAGCTGAAATTGGGAGAGGATGGCGCACTCCACTTGTTCAGGGGGTTCACAGTCAGACCTGAAGGGGCTAGAGCAGTCTAGGCCCTATGATCTCTCTAACCAATCAGCTAAAGATCCCCTAAAGGACAGAGTCCTACTCTGAGGAGAAACTGCTTGGAATAGAATCCAAATTGAACAGTACAGGGACAATAGAAACAAAGAAAAAAGATGGCCCAGATGAAAATTGGAGAGGTGAACAGACCCAGGATCTCTGAATGTAAGATGCCATATTTTGAACATCTTCTTAAAAAAAAAAAGGGAAAAGAAGAAGAGGGCATTCTAGAGATATAAAATTTAAATATTACTCTAAACCAAGCCTCCCCTCTAAAAGTTTTGTTTTGTTTTGTTTGTGAGGTGATCAGCCCTGGGCTAACATCCATGCCCATCTTCCTCCACTTGATATAGGATGCCGCCACAGCATGGCTTGCCAACCAGTGTGTTGGTGCGCGCCCGGGATACAAACCGGCGAACCCCGGGCCCCCGCAGTGGAGCGCATGCACTTAACCGCTTGCACCACCGGGCTGGCCCCCTAAAAGTTTAAGAAAATTAATTTTACACAGAAATGAGCAAAAGAATAGGATTAAGGTCAAAATCTGTACAAAATTATAAGAACAAAAAGAATAAGTAGAGTAATGCCCAAATTGTCAATAACATACAAGAATTCAGGGAATATTGTTCTCATTAGCTCTTTCTTAGGAATCTCCCAGAGAATCAAATCAGAGAACCAGAATGAATAGAGAGACAGCAACGTGAGGGTTGATGGTGGGCAATAATATTAGCAATAACAATACTTTATATAGATATATAAATTCATAGATCTAGCTGGCTTCCCTACTGGATGGTAAACTCTGGGAAGACAGGAACCATGCCTGTCTCGTTCACAGTTGTTTTAGCAGAATGCCTAGTGTATTGCAGGTGCTCAAGGTTGAATGAATTGGATAAATGTTCATAATAGAGGGAAGGAATCTAACGTTTATTGATCCCTATTTTTTCCAGGCAATATAAGAGGCACTTTGCCTGTAACTTTTATCTTTACATCAACAATGTAGGTGAAAATGTCACCCTTTTCACAAATGTTGAAAGGCTTAGATAGGTGAAGTAGCTTGCTCAGGGTCAGATAGCTAACATCAGTAATAGCTGTTCTATCTGATTCCATTTTCATTTAGCATAATTATAATTAGGACATGTACAATGACTTTGTAATGTTTTACTTTCTGAAGTGAGAAATGTCTTTTGCCATCTTGTTTCTATTGTCCTTTCTTTTTGGAATCATGAAGGTAAATTTTAAATGATCACAGATTGAGTCTTTCTATGTTCATTCTTCTACAAATATTAGATTAAGAAATTTTAGTGTATGGAAGTCTATATTAATGAAGATTTACTCTGTATGTGTGGGCATAATACATTTGGATGTTTGTAGATGAGTAATTCTCAGAAATATGTAATCAAAAAATGAACTACATAAAATGATTAATTAATGTGAACTTTTTTATTATTAGCATGTTATCAGGTGGTTCAGATGGTGTGATTGTACTTTATGATCTTGAGAACTCCAGCAGACAACCTTATTACACATGTAAAGCAGTGTGTTCCGTTAGCAGGTGTGTATTAAAAATGTAATCTGTGAATTTATAAACAGTTGAGTATTTTTTGCTTCAAATGCAAAACATGAAAATAGCAGTCATATGAATGTCTCAAGCAAATTGTTCAAATGATATATTTACATGGATATCGCTTGACATTTTCTTGAAAATAGTAACTGAAATTCAGGTATAGCTGTTTTTAACATGAGACTTCCCAAGAACAATTTTGACATCAGTTTTCAAAAGGATTTTATTTAAAAACTTTTGATTATATCCTTTTCATTCTACACCTACATAGCACACCTCAGCAACTGATTATGGTTTTTAGTACCACTTAGTAGAAGATTTATTTATGAGTCTTTCAGCTAATTATAAACACAAATTAGATTTTTCAACTGATATTAATAGAGCAGAAAGATTAATGACTAGAAGCAGTAAATGTGCTGGCAATCCCTCACCAAAAAGACACACACACACACACACCTCTCTTACTTCTCTACTCAATGACTAGAAGCAGTAAATGTACTGGCAGTCCCACTCCAAACAGACACACACACCTACCTTTCTCTTACCTCTCTACTTACTCAAAACTGCCTAACAGACCTCTCTTGGTCTTGAGTTTTCTGACTGTTCTTTACTGGCTTTCTAGTATTGTGAGAATTATTTTTAAGTCTCTAATAAAATGTTTTGTGACTTGGTTGTAATTTGTTCATAATGAGTTACTTAATTCTTTCTCGTCACCTGTAACTGATCTGATATTGAGTAGGCCTTTAAATTAACAGAATGGGTGTTGAGAAAATGCTTTCAAGAGGAAGAAGTTCATGAAAATTAATATCAGTAACCACTCTGTCTTAAAGCTGTTCCCAAAACACTAGAACAGGTGCGTAAGGACATGAAATATTTGTGAGGAGATTTATGATTGTTTCTTGGCTCTGTTTCTTCACTTTGGAAATATAGATTTGGGAAACTGTTTCTCTGAACCTCAGATTATTTTGTTTTAGAGATAATTATACTTGCCCTGTTATTCTTGTAAGATTTCTGTGAGACTTAAATGAAATATTATCTTTTAAAAAGCACATTAAAAACTATAAAACCACTATTTAAATGGAAAGCAATATAGTTAGAGGGACACTTGGTAAACGACAAGATACCACCTCAAATACTCTGGACCTCGGTTTCTAAGAGGCTTACACCATTTTATACTCTGTCTCTACCCCCATCAAAAAAAACAATGTCTAAATTCTGTATGTAAGACAGTCATATTAATTAATTTAATTCATTTTTATTTTAGCTAACATTTTAACATTGTTTAATTTGTTATATAGAAATTAGTATTTTCATATATACCACATGCTAAATAATGTTATTCCATGAGGGACTATGATCTGCTTTTCTGGTGTGTAAAATCAAGTAAATGCTTGGTATGTCAGTCTTTTGCTTTACTATGACTTTCTTCTAGGATTCAAACTCTATCTTTAAAAGCATGACTTTGAATGTAAATGCACATATAGTATGCATCTTTTCAAAATGAGTTAAAGTAGCATTTTTACATCCAAAGACTTTATAATCTGACTTTAAAAAATAATTTCACTAAAAATTGTTATTAAGTTAATGTGGCTTAGACTGTTTCCTGACATTTATTTTTGCTTTACTTAATGTGTTTGTTCTTGAGCACCAAAAAGATTCCTTTCCTGTACCAAAATTCTTATTAAATGTGAATGAGAATAGCAGATCATACATAGTAAGAGAATAATATAATATTTTGTCCTATTTTAAAATTTAAAAGATAAATGAGCTTTTATTTGTGATCACTACATTAAAAGTTTGTTTTATTTAAAGCTGGAAAATATCTGTATAGATCAGAATTCTTAGGAGCAAATAGAAATCTATTCTGCTTATCTTAAGTAGAAATTGATTGGAAAGATATTTAGTATCTCACATAACTGGTAGGAAGTAGAAGAATCAAAATGTAGAAAATGAGCAGAAAGCCAGAGAAACTAGCATAGTGAACACAGTCAAGGTCGCACCACAGGAACGATTTAGTTCAAGTCCTGCTGCATGTCACCAACACAGACTCTCAACACCACAGCTGTGAATAATTGCTAACTATCCATGGGGTTTGCATTACTAGCTGGAGTTTTGGAGTCCCAGGCAGGATTGATGAAGCCTGGGACACTTGTCCATGCCCTTGCTGCCAAGGGGAAGGGAAGGAGAATGTCTGAAGTTCCTTGCTTTTTCCAACAAGAGGCAGGGCCCTGCCTTTCAATGAATGAAGGGGATTTCCCCCAAATAGGAGGAGTTTGGATGCTCAGCAGCCAAGAAAAGGGCACATATCCACTACAGTCCACCCATTTGGCTGTCCAACATCCATATACACTGTTCTTCCCATACTTACCCTTCCTTTTTTTTGGTAAAAAATTCCAGACTAACCTAATGCAAGTATCCACTATACAACCAAAAATGTAATCATCCCCTTCCCCAAAGGGTGATAATCCTGTCTCTCCAGTTCAAGATAATGTCCATTTTTCCACTAGTTTTACATGATCAGTATTATGCAACTTTGGACTCAATTGTATACTTAATCTATATAAAATAATGGAGGTAAGAGAGAGGAGAAATTAGTTAAAATATATAAATATATACATGACACAGAAAGAAAGAAAATATGTGTAGGCACTATGGTCCTTGTGTTTTTGCACCTGTCTCAAGGCCAGAACCTAAGACTTTCCTTCTTGTTCTCATTCCTTCAGGTAGCACCACCAGTGTTTAAGGTCCTTTACCCCGTGTTGTGATTCAGACTTTCACCTTAAGGAATCAGAACTCATGATGATCCTATCTGCATAGGCTTGCAGTAGTCTTCTGTTACCTTTTGTTTATTTTATTATGGAAAATTTCTAACATATACAAAAATAGAGAGTAGTATAATGAACTGTGTGCCCACCACCCAGCTTCAACAACTATTAGTCATAACCAGTCTTGTTTCATCTCTACCCCTACCCTTGTACTCTGAGGATTATTTTGAAGCAAATCCCAGAAACATCATTTCATTTGTAATTACTTGTTGGTATCTCTAAAAGATAAACTTTTTTAAGCATAAACACAGTACCATTATCTCACATATACAATAATTCCTGATATTAAATATCCAGTCAGTGTTCAAATTTCCCTCATTGTCTCATAAGTGTTTCTTAACAGCCAGTTAGTTTGAATTAAGATTCAGAAAAGTAGCACATATACTGTGTTGATCACCAGTTCACAGCATATACTGCATCCTCAGGACAGCACATCACCCTCACAAGGTGGTATCTTTTAGCTAATATCATAACTCGTCTTCAACAGATCATGCTTCTATGGGTGATAGGTTACATAAGAGTGGTGGTGAATCCCATGGGCATCTGCCAATTACATTCTTTTTTCATAGAGTAAATTCCTTAATCAGAAGCAATGTTGTTTGGGATACCATGGAAGTATGTGATGCATTCAACAATTCTCAGAATGATAGTGCTGATAAAATGATATTGGGGGAAAACAAATCCAAGACCAGAATAGGTATCTCTTCCAGTAAGGAAAACTCACTGTCTCCTCCATGAAGAGGTCCGGTGTAGCTGGCTGATCCCTCCAGGCTGTAGTACAGAAATGTGAAGTCTCCCATTTTATGAGCCTTGGTAGGAAGCAGGCCTCCACATCACACTTTGGAGGTACCTGGACAGTCTCCTTCCCTGGACAGCTAGGGCACAGGCATGTGATCTAGTTTTGGCCATTCATATCATCCTACCTGAGACTGCAGCTTGTTAATATAGTATCAGTTTTAAAACTCACATAAGTCAGTTATCTCTAAATTTTTATTGTTGTTTTGTAGAAACCATCCTGATGTTCACAAATATAGTGTGGAGACTGTACAGTGGTATCCTCATGACACTGGCATGTTCACCTCAAGCTCATTTGATAAAACTCTGAAAGTGTGGGATACAAATACATTACAAGTAAGTACACTAAAGCCTTTCCAAGTTGCTGTGTAGGGTGAAGAAGAATTTAACCCCAAACCATTTTAGTGTGATTATTTGCTAAGATGTCACGTATGTTAGACGTGAAAGCACTATGGTGGTTAAGTTCATATCTTGTCTCTGTTGCTGTGACATTGGGCAAGTGTGTGAACCTCTCTGTTTCAATTTCCTCCTCTGTAAATAGGGGTGATGATTGTACCTTATTAGAATGGTTGTAAATAGGTCCATATATGTAAAGTACCTAGAACAGTGCTTAGCACATAGGAAGTGCTCAAAAAAAATTAGCTTTTGTTATTATTATCTCTCTTATTTGAAAACTACTATGGTCAGGTGGTCTAAGGAAGAAAATTGGATTTATCTCCTATTGAATTAAACACTTAAAGGAAAAGAAAGTTATTAATATTATAGCTTAATAAAGGTAAACAGTAGATAGTAGTTTTTATGATATATGGTCAAATTTATATTTCTAGTGCTAATCTTTTCCCTGAGCTCTAGTCCCATGTTTCTCTACCTGTCTACAGAACCTCTTACATGAATGTAGTTTCATCTCCTGAAACATAACATGTTCCAGACTGAACGTGATCACTCCTCACATCCATTTTGTCCTCAAATCTTAGCAATTCTTCCTTCAAACTCTCTCATTTTTCTCTTTTCTATTTCCCTTACCATCACTGTGCATCTAGACTACTACTGAAAACTAACTGGTTTCCCTGCATTACTTTCCTTACCACACTTTCCATGGTAAGTTCTACCCCAGAATTAATCTTATAAAGTAGCTTCATCATGTTTCTACCCAAACCCACTAGTGACTCCCATTGTCTAAATTCAGCCTGGCATTCTAAGTTCTCCATAACCTCACCCCTACTCTCTCAACCTTAGCTTCTACCTCTTTTCAACATAAATGGTTTGCTGCCGCTAAATTGGACTCCTTTTGCCTTTGATCACATCTTGATTGTGTTGTATTCCCTGCCTCAAGTCCCTTTCCCTATGCAACTTTGCTCTTCTCTTATTCATCTGATAACTGAAAGTTTGTATCCTTTGACCAACATCTCCCCAGTTCCCGCAGCCCTCACCCTCTGGTAACCACCACTTTATTTTTTGTTTCTAAGAGTTCGGCTCTTTTAGATTTCACAGATAAGAGATATCATACAGTATTTGTCGTTCTCTTTATGACTTACTTAACTTAGCATAATGCCCTCAAGGTCCATCCATGTGTCACAGATGGCAGGATTTCCTTCTTTTCTATGGCTGAGTGATATTCCATTTTATATATAGATACCACATCTTCTTTATCTTTTCATTCATTCATGGATATTTAGGTTATTTCCATGACTTGGCACTTGTAAACAATGGTGCAGTGAAGGTGGGGGTGTAGATATCTTCTGATAGTGATTTCGTTTCTTTTGGATATATACCCAGAAATGAGGTTGCTGGATCATATGGTAGTATGATATGGTATTTTTTATTTCTTTTTTTTATTTCTTTTTTTTGTGAGGAAGATCAGCCCTGAGCTAACATCTGTTGCCAATCCTCTTTTTGCTGAGGAAGACTGGCCTTGAGCTAACATCCTTGCCCATCTTCCTCTACTTTATATGGGATGCCGCCACAGTATGGCTTAGTAAGCGGTGCGTCAGTGCGCGCCAGGGATCCAAACCTGCGAACCCTGGGCCACCGAAGCAGAGCGCACGCACTTAACCGCTTGCACCACCGGACTGGCCCCTGGTAGTTCTATTTTTAATTTTTTGAGGAACCTCCATACTGTTTTACATAGTGGCTGCAGCAATTTACATTCCCACCAACCATGCACAAGGGTTCTCTTTTCTCCACATCCTCACCAACACTTATTATCTCTTGTCTTCTTGGTGATAGCCATTCTAACAGGTGTGAGGCGATATCTCATTGTGCTTTTGATTTGCATTTCCTTGATGATCAGTGATGTTGAGCACCTTTTCATGTGCTTGTTGGCCATTTTTATGTCTTCTTTGGAAAAATGTCTATTCACTTACTCTGCCCGTTTTTTAATCGGATTGTTTGGGTTTTTTGCTATTGAGTTTATGAGTTTTTATGTTTTGGAATATTAACCCCTTATCAGATAGGTATATGATTTGCAAATATTTTCTCCCATTCCGTAGGTTCTGTTTTCATTTTGTTGATGGTTCCTTAAAAAATCATCACCAAGACCAACGTCAAGGAGCTTACCGCCTATGTTTTCTTCTAGGAGTTTTATAGTTTCAGGTCTTACATTCAAGTGCTTAATCCATTTTGAGTTGATTCTTGTGTGTGGTGTAAGCTGGTGGTCCAGTTTCATTCCATTGCATGTGGCTGTCCAGTTTTCCCAATATCATTTAATGAAGAGACTGTCCTTTCCCCATTGTATATTCTTGGCTCCTTTGTTATAAATTAATTGACCATATATGCCTGGATTTATTTCTGGCCTCTCTATTCTGTTCCGTTGATCTGTGTGTCTGTTTTTATGCCAATACCATACTGTTTTGATTACTATAGCTTTGTAAATAGTGTTTTGAAATCAGGAAGTGTGATACCTCCAGCTTTTTTCTTCTTAGGATTGCTGTGGCTATTTGGGGTCTTTTCTGGTTTCATACAAATTTTAGGATTTTTTTTTTTCTCTTTCTGTAAAAAATGCCATTGGAATTTTGATAGGGATTGCATTGAATCAGTAGTATGGACATTTTAACAATGTTAATTCTTCCACTACATGAACATGGACTGTCTTTCCATTTATTTGTGTCGTCTTCAATTTCTTTCATCAATGTCTTATAGCTTTCAGTGTACAGATCTTTCACCTCCTTGGTTAAATTTATTCCTAAGTATTTTATTCTTTTTGATTTTTAAATGGGATTGTTTTCTTTTTTTTTTCTTTTCTTTTCTTTTCTTTTTTTTTTCTTTTTGCTGAGGAAGATTGGCCCTGAGCTAACATCTCTTGCCAATCTTCCCCTTTTTTGCTGAGGAAGATCGGCCCTGAGCTAACATCTGCCAATCCTCCTCTTTTTGCTGAGGAAGACTGGCCCTGGGCTAACATCCATGCCTATCTTCCTCTACTTTATATGGGACGCCGCCACAGCATGACTCGACAAGCGGTGCATCAGTGCGCACCCGGGATCCAAACCAGCGAACCCTGGGCCGCCGCAGCACGCGCATTTAACCGCTTGCGCCACCGGGCCAGCCCCCTGGGATTGTTTTCTTAGTTTCTGTTTCTGATAGTTCATTATTAGTGTATATTGTATATTCGTTTTCTATCCTACAACTTTACTGAATTCATTTATTAGTTCTCACAGTTCTTTGGTGGAGTCTTTAGGGTTTTCTATATATAATATCATGTCATCTGCATATAGAGATAGTTTTGTATTTTTGTTTGTGTGAGGAAGACTGGCTCTGACCTGACATCCATTGCCAATCCTCCTGTTTTTGCTGAGGAAGATTAGCCCTGAGCTAACGTCCGTGCCCATCCTCCTCTATTTTTGTATATGGGACGCCGCCACAGCATGACTTGATGAGCAGTGTGTCGGTCCGTGCCCGGGACCCAAACCTGTGAACCCCGGGCTGCCAAAGCGGAGCACACGAACCTAATGAGTATGCCACCAGGCCAGCCCCTAGAGATAGTTTTTTGTTTTTTTGTTTTTGTGAGGAAGATCAGCCCTGAGCTAACATCCGTGCTAATCCTCCTCTTTTTGCTGAGGAAGACCGGCTCTGAGCTAACATCTATTGCCAATCCTCCTTTTTTTTTCCCCAAAGCCCCAGTAGATAGTTGTGTGTCATAGTTGCACATCCTTCTAGTTGCTGTATGTGGGATGCGGCCTCAGCATGGCTGGAGAAACGGTGCGTCAGTGTGTGCCTGGAATCCAAACCCGGGCCGCCAGTAGCGGAGCACGTGCACTTAACTGCTAAGCCACGGGGCCGGCCCTAGAGATAGTTTTAATTCTTCCCTTTCCAGTTCCTGTGCCTTTTATTTCTTTTTTTTGCCTAATTGCTCTGGCTAGGACTTCCAGTACTATGTTAAATAAAGTGATGAGACTGAGCATCCTTGTCTTATTCCTGATCTTAAAGGAAAAGCTTTTAACTTTTCATCGTTGAGTATGTTAGCTCTGGGGCTTGTCATATATATATGGCCTTTATTATGTTGAGGTACGTTCCCTCTGTACCCAGTTTGTTGGGAAAAAAATCACACTTTTTAATAAAAGTTAATACCCATTCATGATTTTTTGAACTCTTAACATACTAGAAATAGAAGGGAAAGTCTTTAATTTGGTAACGAATATCTGTTAAAAAAAAAAAACGGGGGCCGGCCCAGTGGTGCAAGTGGTTAAGTGCGGCGGCCCAGGGTTCGCCGGTTCGGCTCCCAGGTGCACACGGATACACTGCTTGTCAAGCCATGCTGTGGCGGCGTCCCATATAAAGTAGAGGAGGATGGGCATGGATGTTAGCTCAGGGCCAAGCTTCCTCAGAAAAAAAGAGGAGGATGGGCATCAGATGTTAGCCCAGGGCTAATCTTCCTCAGCAAAAAGAGGAGGATTGGCAACAGATGTTAGCTCAGGGCTAATCGTCCTCACACACAAAAAAACAAAAACAAAAAAAACCGCCGGGGCCAGCCCAGTGGCGTAGTGGTTGAGTAGTGTCCTCTGCTTTGGCGGCCCAGGGTTCGCAGGTTCAGATCCTGGGTGCAGACCTGTGCGCCACTCATCAAGCCATGCTCTGGTGGCAACCCACATACAAAATAGAGGAAGATGGGCACAGATGTTAGCTCAGGGCTAATCTTCCTCAGCAAAAAGAGGAAGATTGGCAACGGATGTTAGCTCAGGGCCAATCTTCCTCACAAAACAAACAAACAACCAAAAAATACACTTAAAAACAAACATTATATGTGGTGGGAAACTATTGAAAGCTTTCCCTTTGAGTTATCGCTGTTATCCCCACTGTTCAACATTAAACTGGAAGTTCTGGCCAGTGCAATAATGCAAACA